AAAAAAAAAAAAGTAAGAAAGAAAGAAAGAAAAAAAAGGGAAGAAAACATCAGTTTTGCTATGAAGATACAAAATTTAATTTGTTAATTGATAATATAAAATTTGAAGGAAGCTAATTGAAGATATGAATATATTAGTGATACGAATTGTACCAAAAAAATATTAGTGATACGAAATTTGAAGGAAGCTAATTTGAAAGATATGACTATATTTCAAATGAAAAAATATCTATACCTAATTGAAAGAAGTAAATCAAAAGTGAGAGATATATTAGTCACTTATGACACATTATGTAAAATTACAAAGAATTAAAGAGTTATATTAGTACACGTGATATTAAAATACCTAAGTTAGTTAAATAATATTTATGGAATATCCAAACCTAGATTATTAATTATTAATATATCAATAGTATTTGTCCAAAAGCATGATTTTTCACCAAGTAGGATTCCGAAGCACCAGAAACAGCCACGTAGGCTCAGCACATTCGAGAATTATATATAGGAGGAAGAGGATATGATCAATATAATTAAAAAATACCATTCAATTATTCTTACACATCACAATTATCATAATTCACTATTCATCAAATCACATAATTTTAAATAATCATCACTTCATATCATCTCCACATCATCGACTTTAATTATTTTATTTTAAATATTATTTTAATATAAATCTAAAATTTCACTACCCAACTAACATACCATCTTTCTCCACCAAATTAAATTAATTCTAGCTAATCAAAAAAAAAAATTCACTTGATAATTTTTGTATACAAACATGCTAGTCCAAAGTAATTTATTAAAATACCATTAGTAGTATCCAGAATCAGTTGAACCCAAACTTTATCTGGGCTTTCACCTTCAGCTCCGGCGCCTAGAATCCTCTCCTCCGTCGTTCAGAGGTCCCAACTTTCACCAACAATGGAGACTGTTATGCAGAAAGTAAAGGACATCGAAGATGAGGTAGGTCATGAGCAAAAATTGTAAAAAAAAAAAAATTATATATTCGTAAAGTGATTATATTTCGTTGCGTGATTATGATTTTATTTTGGAATTGTTAGTTTTATGCTGCTCGCCGAGTTAATTTTGAGGGTTTGGTGGAAATATGTGTTTGTCTGCTTATTCCAACTGTAAGAGCTGAAACAGGATCGATCGCTTGTTTGTTTTCCCCAGTAGCTTTATTTTGTTTATCACAATTGCTTGTTTAGAAATGGAGTTATTGGAAGTTTCATCCGTTCATTTTTTTTGTGCCTTTCTTTGTAGTGACATGCATACTTCCTTCTGTGATGTCTTCATTAGGAACTTGTTTAGTTTTGCTCTCTTGAAGCTAATCTTATATATTTTTAGCCCGTGTATGAGAGTTTAAGTAATTTTTATTTTCATTTTTATCTTAAACTTGTTTAACTGCTAATAGGTGATGTAGTGTTACAGATGGCAAGAACCAAGAAAAATAAAGCAACAGCCCATCACCTGGGCTTGTTGAAGGTATGTATCTGTCGTGCTTGTAATATTTCTGTTAGATGAATATTAGTTGCTCGCAAGATGCATAATTTATTTATTTTCTTATCTGCCCAGCAATGCTAGTTTTTCACCCCTCTCCTTGGCCACTGTCTTTAATAGTGCTACCAATGACCCCTTCTCAAATTTTAGTGAAGGCAGTGATTCAGTTCCTCCATTTACAGAGAATAGAACCTTGATCCTTTAAAACTCGTAGTGAATGGGTTAGAATGGCACCTAATGCTACAACATTCGAGGGAATTAGTATGATTATTTTACAGCATTCTTATTTATGCTTAGAATTCTTCTTTATGCTGTAAAATGTTCAACCAAGAAATAAATCTGTTCAGCTGTAAAACTAGAAAATGGAACTTTGTCGCTGTTTTCTCTCGTACTATAGAGCATGGTTGTGTTGTACATCGTGTTTGTTGAGCGTGCTCAACCCACATGAGTTTACATAGTTTAAAAAACTCTGATGGTTCATGGTTGATTAATCATATTTAACAAAATTTGCATTTGGATGTCATGCATTGGATAACTCAGAAGAACCCTGTGAAATGGAACTCATTTTAAAATTTCCATCTCTTTGAGGACTTAAATTAAGATTTTGCTGAAATGATTAGTTTTCAGCATGCTAATTGGTCTGTGGTGAATGATCTGTCATAGGCGAAACTTGCAAAACTTCGAAGGCAAATTCTCACACCAGCATCTAAAGGAGGCGATGGTGCTTGGGAAGGCTTTGATGTTACAAAACGTGGTGATTCAAGAGTTGGCCTGGTGGGTTTCCCTTCAGTCGGGAAATCAACACTCTTGAACATATTAACTGGATCATTTTCAGAGGTTTGTAATTCTTGAAGTTTCTGGTTGGTCCTCTTGCTTTACCGAGGAACTTGAAAGAAGAATCAGTTGTGGATATATTGTGGGACAAAATATGGAATTTAGTATCATGTACAGCAAAAACTACAGCTCGTGGAGCATGATATGAGCGCTGTTAATGTGTCACTTCATTGTTTCTGTCTTTTCTTCAAATTTTAATATGTTTACTAGAACTGCAGTATATAGTATAGGGACAATTGTGTATCTCAGAGTTAGAATGGTCTGCTTTCCCAAATGAGGCAATTGAACTAGATAAAGAAAATAGGGAGAAAGAATATTATCTTTGTACTGCAAACATAACTGTTGTAGCAATAATGACTAGACAAATACACATAAACTACAGAACTAGTTTTATGAATGCCTGAAATGCGTAAATAATATTTTTTCTTAGCTACATGAATGAGAAGTTTAATGTTAGGGTTCTACATGTTTTAAATCTATGAAGAATTGGAAGAACAAAAGTAGGAAACGATGGCTGAAAATGTTTCTGGAGGAAGCCTAGATTCTAACAGTCTATTATATTAAGTTTAATATTAGTCATCTGATGTCCTATTGCCAGATAATCTGTGGCATTCTAGAGCATTATTCTGCAAAACACATCTTATTGTGCTATACAGGATGTCTCGATGTTATATGTTTCAAGTAAAATTTCTGTTACTCACAACTTTTATCATCATTACCAATTACCAACCTTTTTGTTACATCTTGGTTGTTTTGGTTAAAAAAAGATATATAGCAAGGAAATTACCATGCTAATGCAATTACTAGCTGGGTAGATATTATGCCCTCTCCTTTTCACTTCAGCCAAAATAGGACCATAGAATTGACCATCTTTCTTTCGGCATCAGCCTAGTTCAAGTTCATATGCTGCGAATGAACTTCACATACCAATTATTCTCTTGAACTGCAGGTAGCGTCATACGAATTCACTACTTTAACTTGCATTCCTGGTGTGATCACATATCGATGTGCTAAATTCAGGTATGGTCATCTCCCTTGAATGTATGAAGCTTTATTTTTAGGTTAACTTAACTGAGACTTCGAGTTTTTAAAGATGCAGCTTCCACATACCATTGAGCAATAATTTCTTTTTCCAATTGACAGTTGTAATTAGTTGGGCCAAAAGATCAGATTGAGTTATAAATGGTCATCTCACTATCGTTACCACATCAATGATTGGGGTCAAAGGCAGTTTATTATTTTATTCAGGTGTTTATAAAAGGGGAAATTCTATTATAGGGCCTCATTTTTAGGTATTGTGTCATAATAAGGCTTGAATTTTTAACCTTTTCATTTGAGTGCTTGAATTTTAAGTTATTCTCCATAAAAGGCTTACTTTTACATTCAAATTTGTCAATTTAAGACTCCAACAAACTTTATATTTTTACATAAATATATATCCAAATACTATTATTTAAATATTTATATTTTAAATAATTATAAATGTATTTAGTAAAATCACTTTAGTATATTTTTCTAAATAGTTTATTATTTTATTTTATCACATATTTAGATTAAATTAAGTTAAAAATTTATTTTTTAACTTTTAAAATAACTTTCATTAAGATTTTGTATAAATGTAATTTATGAAATAGTTATATTTTTGGGTAATTTCACTAAGATATTTAATATTTCTTTATTATATGTACTTAAATAATAAATTTTAAAAAAAGTATTATGTTTTACATAATTTTGTTAAAATAAAAAGAAATTTAGAGACTTAAATTGAAAAGTAGAATGTAAAAGTAGGCCTTATATTGAGAATAATTTAAAAATGAAACCCTCAAATGAAAAGTTTAAAAATATAGGTCCTATTATGACACAATACCTTAAAATGAGGCCCTACAATAGAATTTTCCCGTTTATAAAAAGAAAAAGGAAAGAAGGAAAAAGGAAAAAAGCCCTCATTAGTCTTTTTATTCCTCCTTTATTTGGTGGCATCACTTAATATTCTTGCCTGGGTAACTAATTTTGTCTTAAATGGGTGACTGATATATCTATTTTATATTTTCTTACTCATCACTTCCATTTTATTTTATTAATGGCCCATTATGGCAATCAAGACATATGATCAATGAAAATGTCAAGCAAGAGAGTTAGAACAAAGGGAGTTCCTTCATGACATTATTTTTCTTCTTAAAAGTTGTTGATGCTTTTGGGTTTTAAGGAAGAGTGCACATAAATGTTGTTGAGTACAGTTTTTAGATTGTTTGTTTTTGTTTTGTCAGTTGCTGGATCTTCCTGGTATTATTATTGAGGGTGCCAAAGATGGCAAGGGTAGCGGAAGACAGGTAATGTACAATTTCACCTGCCTATTACTGTCTCTCTCTTATTTATTTTACGTGATTGCGTAATATGGAGCTTAGTTCAACTGCTTATTCCCAAATCATGAAAACAGCTCTTTATTGTCACTGTGACAATGCAGCTTATATTCGCCATATTTCCAGAGTTGTAAGAACTCTTGGTTTCAAAATTAGAAAAGTATTACATGGTTAGTCGGCCGTAGAGATTTCAAACTCTTGAAGAAAAAGAAAAAAAAAAAAAATGCTCTTGTGCAAGCTTACAATGATGAATTCATTGGAAAACCTCCCCTGCTAACATAGTTTCCATATTGGCATAGACAAAGGAGGAAAATTTTCAGGCACTTTCTTACATAAGGTCCTCTGTGGGTTTGTTTATGACACTGTGATGTCGATAACTCTTCTCCAATAGGTAAAGTAATAGCATTATTACCAGGTGGAACAGGTACAAAAGAAAAATATCATAAAGAAACCATCATAATTTAAGTTTTACCATCACCACCTGGAGAAACTAAAGATCAGTTTTTGACTTGCATAACAACCACTTTGCACACCAGGGGACACTTGTGTTTGAAATTCCTGCTCGAACACCCAAAAGAAATAAATCTTATTTTCATAATCGATAAATATGAAATATAATATCTTTGAACGTGTCCTCTATTGTGGTTGTCAGAATAGAATAAGGGAACTGTGAGGTAAATAATTTTGGCTGTAAGTGCAATCTAGCTCCCTCATGATGACTGTTTTACCTACTTGTGAAGTTATTCCATACCAAGAAATCATATAACTAACAACTCTTTTTAATATGTGTCATTTGTTTTTAGCTGTAATATATCACCTGCAGAGTAAGATGGTGTTGTCCCAGGCAAGGCTTTGATGTTTATCCTTTCAATTAACACTTGACTTTGTCTTCTGGATTAGGTTATAAGTACAGCTCGAACATGCAACTGCATCTCGATTGTTCTGGATGCTATAAAACCAATTACCCATAAACGTCTAATAGAGGAAGAGCTAGAGGGTTTTGGTATAAGGTAACATGCGTATTATTTTCATTTTTGTTGTATTATCGTTTTCACTGCTTGGTTGTGAGTACCTTACATGATGCTTCTACTAGTGTCACGAGATAGTTTCTTCTAAAATTTTTGCCATCAGTTGTTCTCTTGAGATTCATATGTTCTTCTGAAACCTGAAATCATCCAGAACATGCTTGGGGAGATTTTTAATGGATACCCTTGTACTTTGGTGGCAATAGTGTGTATATTGTACCACATGGATAAATATGATTAATGTTTCATATTTACTGATGGTAACGATTGTTTTATCCGTTCTCTCTCATGCATATAAGCATGCTTGTAAGTGGTTATTCCCACATACTCCCTCATTTGACAAATTATATAACATATCTGTTTTCTGGTAACAGGCTAAACAAGGAACCACCAAATCTAACATTCAGGAGGAAAGACAAAGGAAGACTCAATCTTACATCTACAGTGACAAATACGCATCTTGACCTCGAGACAGTGAAGGCAATTGCGGCGAGTATCGTATTCACAATGCAGACATCAGTCTTAGATATGATGCAACAGCTGATGACCTCATAGATGTCAATCGAGGGCAGTAGGGTATATATTCCGTGCATATATGTCGTCAATAAGATTGATCAATCACACTTGAGGAGCTCGAAATTCTGGACAAACTTACCTCATTATTGCCCAGTCAGGTAACCGTCCATCCAATTTGCTCATGGTTGACATGTAGTTGTGTATTTTGATTGAGATGAAAGGATTGAAGGCTATCAATTTAGAATATCTTATGCTGAAAATTTTGGGATATTAATCGTGCTTAATCTTAAGGATTTTGACTAATTTATTATCGTCATTCCTATTCATGAATTGTTCATTAGCATCGACATTCTCTATATAAATTTACTAAAATAAATCCAATGCTAATATTTTCTTACCCCTTTTATTTCTTATTACCATTTCATATTAGTTGTAGTGTATAGCATAATAGAGAGCAGTCAATAGGTTAAGGATGAAGAGATTCATTTTGTAACAGCATAAGCTATTGGACAAGTTTCTTGCTGCCACTGCTGGAGAAGTTTCATACATTTTGGAAAAGTTTTATCCTTCTTGTTTGTCCCTATTATATTATCATCAATGAAATTACATTTTTCTCTTTTTCTTGATCCTTTACTCCTAACAATTAGTCCGACCTTCTGGATAGAGATGGCGTGAAATAAGCCATAAATCATGGTAAGTATATTGAAGAAGAAATAATAATTAAGCATCAAGGAAAAAAGAATAAATCTACAGATTTTGGAGTGATTGTCACCTTGCTTCTATTATTTACCTTTTATATTATGTCAGTTAAATATAAATATAGGTTCTATTATTATTATTATTATTATTACCTTTATATTATGTCAGTTAAATATATGTTCTCTAGGAGATAAGTGTTAGCAATAAGAATCATATGACAATAGCTTTAGCTATTGGGTACTTTTTGCTGGGTTGCTGGGAAGCTTCAAGCTTTTGGTTGCCATTTGTACTAAATAAACTTTCATATATTATTATTATTACCTTTTAATATTATGTTAGTTAAATATAAATATAGGTTCTATTATTATTATTGCCTTTTATATTATGCCGGTTAAATAAAAATATAGGTTCTCTAGGAGAGGTGTAGGCAATAACAATCATATTGTGATAGCTTTATGATTTATCTATTGGGCAAGAGTAGTTCTTGGTGGGCAGAAGTTTTGCTTGGAAGCTCAAGCTTCTGGTTACCATTTGTATTAAATAAACTTTCACACTTCATTTTCTTGAATATTTATCACTTTTCAAATCATGTTTTCTTTATTCTTTTGGGCGAATTCCAGTTTAACAAAAACCACAATAAATAAAAGTACCACAGTAAGCTTACATTGATTCATTTAAATTGACTGGAATTGATAAATATTAGTTATTGGTGTTTCCTTTCTGCGTTAGCAGATGAAACATTTCATCTTTACATTGATTGTATAGGCTCTATCTGTAACCTTCCCAATATATTTTTCAATTGATTTAGTTTTTCCTGAAATCAGTTTTGTACTCTCCTTCATAAATTATTGGATTTATGCTTATTTTTTCCTTTGTTGTTGGGATGAACTTTGCGTATGCAAAAGGCTCAGTGGGTTGTTTATGTCTTTCTAGTCACCTACTCGCTATTTTTATGTACAAATGTATTTTCTCCAGTGCTCACTTGGAATTGGAACCTTGATGGCCTTCTGGAAAAAGTTTGGGAGTATCTTGATTTAACTCGCATATACACAAAGCCCAAGGGGATGAATCCAGACTATGAAGATCCTGTTATATTGTCATCCAAGAAAAGAACAGTTGAGGACTTCTGCAATAAAATCCAGAAGGACATTCTTAAACAAGTTCAAATACTTAATTTCCATTACTTCCTGCATACTGAAGCTCTTCTTTATCGATCACAACCTTTTTTTTTTTTTTTTCTTTTTTCTTTCTAATATATGTGACTATGTGTATTAAAGCTTTTTTTTTTTAAGTTCCTACAAAACCCAAATCTTATTTTTACAATTAATTGCTACTTTGAACTGCTTTGTCTTAACAATTTTAAGAGCTTTCATAAGCAAAGGCAAATTTCTCTATGTAAAATAACTTGTGGGTTTTTTGTATAAACTGTAGTGCACTGGTTTGGGGCTCTAGCGTGAAACACAAACCCCAGAGGGTCGGAAGGGTAAAATTCTTTCAACTTCACATTTCATTTCTACTTTATTTAATTTGTTGTTGGTATTATTCCCCTTCCTTACTATAACGTGTTTCGAATAATGGATGATTGATTAAGAAGTTTTTTTCTGTTGACCACCAGGAGTACGAACTGGAAGATGAAGATGTCCAAATCATCAAAAAGGTGTGATTACATTACTTTTGATCTACAAAATCCCCTGCTTGATGCATGTGGTTCGAGTTATTACCTGCAGTGAATCTCAGAAGATTTACTGAAGTGTAATTTTTGTTTGCCGATTTACGTGCATGGCTGCTTGAAATGTACAATGGATGTCGCTAGAATGTTGGGTCTTTCACCTTTTTACAATGTTGATTTTAAACATTGGTGGAATAAAATTATCGTGTGGTAATTCGTAAGTAGAAGTACGGTTGGTCATAACTTGAGAAATTTTGTTCTATATGAAGGCAAACTTAAGCGCAGCTACAAATATTTCCTTGCGGAAATGATTTAGTTGTTGACTCCATGGTTTGATAACTTTTACGAGAGATTTTGTCTGTTTATGTGTTGTGCCCCAAGTACAAATTGTGTACACTATGTTTGATATGGAAGAACATGTGTCGATGCATTAATTAATTCATATATGACTGACATAAGAATTTGCTAAATTGGGAATATATTTTGAACACTTCAAAGCTCTGTTCTTCATTTTTTTTTAATGCTTTTTTCATGGTAATATATTAATTTTGTGGAAAATTTTCCCTTCCCTTGTAGAATAAGTGCACTATACAAATATGGATTTATCACTTTGAATATTTAATCATGATGCATTTTTACAGTAGTTTATTATTATTATTATTATTATTATTATTATTATTATTATTATTATTATTATTTTGTTTTTGGAAATTCATTAGAATTATTCACACTACCTAAATTACAACAGCAACATCAACCATGAACATGAATACAACATCAAATATTTGAAATTTTGGACCAGACAAATTTCGATCTACAAACACAGAGTGCTGCAAAATCTGTTCGATTAAAAAACGGTCATGCTTTTGCACAGCAGTTAAAATAGCTGAAGATGCCCCGCCTCACCTGTTAAGCATAATAAAACAGCAAATAAACCTTATTATATACAACTATTATTAATTAATAAAACATCGCTGCATATAATTATGTCAAGATCATGCTAAGGGTACTTCTTGGGAGCTATAGGTACTTGCCAATAACAAGATCTCGCCATCCGCATTGTCTCGACTGAATGTTTCCATATATAAGCTATGTTTAGTAAAACAAGCTATCAGTTGATAAGCTAGCTTATAGCTTATAAATGATTTTCGAACTTCAAGTTATAGTTTATGACTTAGAATTGAAAAACTAGCATATATGATAAAAATGTTTGGTACAATTAGTTGATAAACTAGCTGAATTAAAAATTTCACCGAACAGAACATTTGACTACATGAAACTTATAAGCTAACTAAATAAGCTATAAGCTAGATTATTTGGTTACCACACATAGCCATAAACTTCTTTCTCCCCACATTCAATTAAGAGTTTTACACATCAAGATGTTCGATGGCCCGCGTTTCTTTAATTGTAATAACAACTAACAAGTACTGATATCCACTCTCCACTTGAATGTTCGAAATAGGAAAAAATGAAATAAATGATGTTGAAGAAAAACAAGAAAAAATATCGCAGCGCACCATTTTGATGATCTACATGAAAGTCATTATGAACCGTGCTCGAGCTTTTTGTGTTCGATGTGATGAGCTCCTCCTCATTGCCAAGACTCGCCCTAGACGGGTCCCTCTTGTTCTGTTTTCTCATTTCGACTACAAGAAATATGAGTTTTCGAAAAATCCATGGAGTAATCGGGCAGCTCTCCCTTTTGGTCCCAGTCACCAAATTGTGGCACGGAAAGCCACTATGCATTTCTCTAAACAAAGAAAAATAATTTATCGTAAAAAAACACATAATCAAGCTATATCTTTTTTATTTTATTTTATTTTTTAATTCTTTCTTTAGACTAATAATACAAACATAGGGGCAGACTGCAGAGTTTGTAAATATCCAAGAACTAATTAGTTAAATGAATGAATTAATAAAAATAATAAGCTCATTGACACACAGCTGCTCTCAAGTCTCAAGTCTCATCACCAATATAAAAACATGTATGCTTTAAAAATTCAAGCTTTGGGGGAAAAAAAAAATAAAAAATAAAAAGCAAAGCACCCATTGACACACAATAGTCATTTGGCAAATGCCAATTGCATATCATTATCAGGTTTGTTATCTGTCAATTAGACTTGAGCGTCGAAGAGAGTTTGAAAGGAAAAATAAAGATTCAAACTTTGAATCTTTTTTGGGCGGAATGATTGTTGAAGGGTGAGTGAGATCAACTTTGAGAGCATACAGCAAATCCTATCCTATTATTGGGCGGAATGATTGTTGAACGACTCAAATTCCTCAGAATCAACATGTTTCATATTATACGAAAATAAACCAACAACATATCAGTAAAAAAAAAAAAACATGTTTAAACCAATACAGAGACAATGAACACTACCATGAAACAAAGATATAACACACCTTACAGTTTAGACAAATGAAAGTAAGTAATCACAAATGAAACCTAAACACCCAACAAGAAGCAAATACAGAGACAGTTGGACACCAAAAAGGCAAAAGTTACAGAGGCACCAAACATTTTCCCAACCAAAACATCATGATAAAAACACATTGTGATCAAAGCATCTTAATAGACTTTGTGCGGGAAAAACCAGAAAGAAACCTACACTGATGAAAAGACATCATAGGTAAATATCATAACAGAGTTGGTCCAACTAGTTGCCAA